CATGATTTTTGTTTTTAATTCTGTTTATGTGGTAAATCATATATATTGATTTGCATATGTTGGACCATCCCGGCATCCCAGGAATAAAACCCACTTGACTGTGGTGAATTAACTTTTTGATGTGCTGTTGGATTTGTGTGCTAGTATTTTTTTGAGGATTTTTACATCTGTGTTCATGTACAATGGTCTATAGTTTTCTTTTTTGGGTTTTTGTCAGATTTTGGTATCAAAATCATATTAGTTTCATAGAACGAGTCAGGGAGGAGTCCCTCGTCCTCAATTTCTTGGAATACTTTCAGCAGGATTGGTGCCAGCTGTTCTTTGTATGTCTGGTAGAATTCAGCTGTGAACTGAATCAATTTGGTCCAGGGTTCTTACTACTGATTCAATTTCCTTACTTGTTATTGATCTGTTCAGGATTTCTGTTTCTTCCTGGTTCAATCTTGGGAATTTGTGTTTCCAGGAATCTATTCATTTCCTCTAGACTTCCTAGTTTGTGTACATAGAGATGTTCATAATATTCTCTGAGGAGCTTTTGTATTTCTGCGGTATCTGTTGTGATGTCACTTTTGTCATTATTTTATTGTGCTTATGTGGATGTCCTTTTTTTGTTAATCTAGCTAGTGGTCTATCAGCCTTATCTTTTCAAAAAATGAACTTTTTGCTTCATTGATCCTTTGAAGTCTCAATTTCATTCAGTTCTGCTCTGATTTTAATCATTTCTTCTGCTAGATATGGATTTAATTTGTTCTTATTTTGCTCACACTATTGATTGCAAGGTTAGGTTGTTAAAATTTGATATATTTCTATCTTTTTGATGTAGGCATTTAGCGCTATAAACTCTCCTTTTAACCCTGCTTTTGCCACATCCCAGGAGTTTTGGTATGTTGTCTATTTTCATTTATTTCAAATACTTTTTTAATTTATGCCTTAATTTCATTGTTTACCCAAAAGTCAGTCAGGGGCAAGTTGTTTAGTTTCCATGTAAACTAAACATGGTTTTGAGAGGTCCTCTTGGTACTAATTTCTATTTTTATTCTGTGGTCTGAGAAAATGCTTTGTATTATTTCAATGTTTTGAATTTATTGAGACTTGCTTTATGACTGAGAATGTGGACAAACTTAGGGTATGTTCCACGTGCAGATGAGAAGAATGCATATTCTGTGGTTGTTAGGTGCAGTATTCTGCAGGTGCCTATTAAGTCTGATTGGTCAAGCATTGAATTTAAGTCCAGGATTTGTTAGCTTTCTGTTTTGATTATCTGCCTAATGCTGTCAGTGGTGTGTTAAAGTCTCCCATTATTTTTGTGTGATTGTCAAAGTCTTTTCTTAGGTCTAGAAACATTTGTTTTATAAATCTGAGTGCATCTATAACACATTTAGGATAGTTATTTGTTCTCATTGAATTGCACTCTTTATTATTATATAATTAATGCCCTTCTTTGTCCCTTTTTGGTTGTTGTTGGTTTAAAGTCAATTTTATGTTTATGTGTTTTATGTATTTTATCTGCTACAAAAATAGCAACTCCTGCTTTTTTTTGTTTTCTATTTGTGTAGTAGATCTTTCTCCATCTTCTATTTTGAGCCTATGGGTGTAACTGCATGTGAGATGGGTCTCTCAAAGATAGCAAAACAATGGGTAGTTTTTTTTTTTAACTCAGTTTGCCACTCTATGTCTTTCAAGGAGAACATTTAGGCCATTTACATTCAAGTTTAATATTGATACATGGGGTTTTGTTCCTGTTATACACAATGTTGTTAGCTAGTTGTTTTGTAGTCTTGATCATATAGTTGCTTTGTAGGGTCTGTGGGCTATGTGTGTGCAAGCCAACACCACTTACTGAAAAGACTATTCTTTCTCCATTGTGTATTCTTGGCACTCTTGTCAAAAATTAGTTAGCTATGTTTGGGTTTATTCTAGGTTTTCTATTCTGTTTGATTGATCTACATGTCTATTCCTATGCTGGTACTGTATTATTTTGATTACTATAGCTTTGTAATTTAATTTGAAATCACAAAGTGTGATGCCTGAAACTTGCCCTTCTTTCTCAAGACTGCTTTGGCTATCTTTGGCTATCACGTGGAGTCTTTTGTGACTCCACATGAATTTCAGAATTATTTTTGTATTTCTGTGAAAAATGCTGTTGGAATTTTGATAGAGATTTCATTAATTCTATTGATTGCTTTGGATGGTATGAACATTTCAACAATATCAATTCTTCCAATCCATGAACATAAGATATTTCCATTTACTTATGTCTTCTTCAATGTCTTTCAACAGTGTTTTATATTTTTAATGTACAGATCTTTTACCTCCTTGGCTATCAATTGTAAAGTTTCTAAATGCCAACAACCATGCTACAATCTGGATCTCTGTGTTCCCTACAATGGCTAGTACAGAGCAGGGTAACCCCAGAACATGTTTATAAAATCAAATGCTTTCCTATTTTATGATCTCCATTTTAATATATACAAATTTCTAAGTCGAGGCTGCTGGGGGAAAAACATTTTTGTTGAGGAGTCACCAGTTTCATAAAGCCACACCTCCAGAATCTAAACGTTGTCCTGTTTACTATTTTGCAGGATCTTTTTTTCCTTATATCTCATTTCTTTCTTGCCTCCTGTCTAACTCTAAAAGGACAGTGAGAGTATCTTCCCATTGTGACTTCTCTTCAGCTGCAGAATTGTTCTTAAACAGGTTCTCTACAAAACCTACAGTACAATCATACAGACTGTAGAAGTACAGCCTTGGCCCTTAATATTTTTGTTGTCTCATGCCTGAAAACCTGAAATACAAAATATCACCTTTGCTGACTAAGAAAGTTCAGGAGTGAGAATGCCAGAGGAACTCAAAATTCCTTACCCTTGAACTATAACTATAGGAATGGAAGTATTGGAATCGACAGGAAACCCAGGTCATGGAAAGCTAGTAGCATTGGTCTAAGTGTGTGTGTGTTATGTATACATGTTCCCAGCATCAGGGGACATCAGTATTACTAATATGTTTCTTATGGATCTTGTAGAAAAACAGAAAATCTTACAATGGTTGTGTAAAAGGCCAAATATAGTCATTTTCATCAACTATCTTTTATGTCAAATTTCACACAGTACATTTTCTCCTATGCATATCAATCAATCTATATATCAACAATTACTATATGCTAAATTTAATTATAATATACTTCTTCACCATTCACAAAGTATTCCCAATTTGTTCTTTGTGTAGCATGTTATGTGCTCAAAAGATTTAAAAAACAGAACACTGTTCTTGATCTCCCTAATGGGTAGGCTTATAGATGAAAGTATATTGATATCCTTACACTTTACTTACCCATTGAATGGGTAGGCATGAAACTTAAAGAAAAAGTATGCATTTAGCTATTACCTAAAGTATGAATCATTACTTTGATTATTGATGGTATCACTCTTACAAGTGTTTTATATTAGGACATATTCATTCAGCTATTTTACATACCCAGTGGAATTAATGTAATCCTATATATGTAATTACATTATTAACAAAAAGATAAAAAAAGAATATCTATCATAAATCAAAATGAAAATAGGCCTAACATACTCTATTTTTAGGCCAGGTGTGGTGGCTCAAGACTGTAATCCCAGCACTTTGGGAGGCCAAGGCAGGAGTTTGAGAACAGCCCGGCCAACATGGTGAAACCCTATCTCTACTTAAAGTACAAAAATCTGCTAGGCCTTGTGGCAGGTGCCTGTAATCCCAGCTATTCAGGAGGCTGAGGCAGGAGAATTGCTTGAACCCGGAAGACAGAGGTTGCAGTGAGCTACTTTGGCTCACTGCACTCTAGCCTGCGCAACAGAGTGAGACCCCATCTCAAAAAAAAAAAAAAAAAAGCCTATTTTTAAAAATCAAAGACTCCATTACTCAAAAATACTAGAATATTTTAAAATTGGGTTTTTGGGCCAGGTGCAGTGGCTCATGCCTTTAATCCAAGCACTTTTGGAGGCTAAGGTGGGTAGATCACTTGAGGTCAGGAGTTCATGACCAGCCTGGCCAACATGGTGAAACCCCACCTCTACTAAACATACAAAAAATTAGCTCGGGGTGGAGGCACGCACCTGCAATCCTAGCTACTTGGGAGGCTGAGGAATGAGAATCGCTTTAACCCAGGAGGCGGAGGTTGCAGTGAGCCAAGATCACACCATTTCACTCCAGCCTGGGCGACAGAATGAAACTCTGTCTCAAAAACACACACACACACACACACACACACACACACACACACACAATAAAAACCAGGGTTTTTGGAAAGGAAAACATATATGGCCCAACTCCTACCCCACTAAGTCAACTGCCTGCAAAGAGAAAGTATTCTCACCCTTCCACCATGCCAGAATTCTTAAAGGAGCAGGACCCCTATGTGGTAGTCCAGCACTGTCTGTAATGGGGTAGATAAGCCTTCTAATTCTAAGGCTCAGTATCAGGAATAGGAATTGCCTGCTTACAAATGAAAGCTTTATCTGCTATTCTGTCCTTCATCAGTATAAAACTAATATTTTGCTTCTCCATCTGGTAACTCTTGCTTTATAGGCTGGTTTAGGACTTGAATGGAGAAGAGCATTGCTATTTATTTGACCTCAAAGATACCAATACTCTCAGTAGAGTTTCAACTCTTTCTAGGATGGGAAGAAAAGAACAATGCCAACTAAATGTGACATGAAGCGACAAATGGTACATAATGCTTGTTTAATGGCATCCTTTGTTTTTCATGTTTTAAGACAGAGAAAACTAGTAAAGTAGACGAATTTGGATGGGAAATGGGGTCAGAAACTGGGTCTTTTAACTCTCAATCACATGGTCTATTTTGCTTTGTTACTATACAATACTATTTTGCCAAAGCGAAATGTTCTGTCCTAAGCCACTGAGGCTGTTTGGCAGCCCACCAAAATTATAATTTGACATTAGATGTTAAAGCTAGAAGCAAGTTTTAGTGTTTTGGCTCCTTCATTTTTGAAATGGCAAGTTACCTTTATAGGTTGGGACAGTGTCCAACTTTCCTTTTTTAACTTGTTGTCTCTCCGAAGGCCGGACTATTGCCACAGGCTGCACTTTGTATGAATTAAAATCCCGTTTGTAGGTAGTACCAAGATCGATCTTCCCTTGTTTTGGTTTATACTCTTCTGGCACATGGCGAGGCTGTTTAACTATTTCATAAGGACGATAATCCGACCTGAAATATATCAATTTGAACCATAGCCTCACCAGTTCTTTTATTTCTAATTATTTCAATGAAGTATAGAAAATGTCAAGGCTTTTTTTTACTTGAAAAGTCTGAGAAGATAATTAAAATGGTAATAGTTGATCAACTACTTGAAGGAAGTAACTGAATTTCTAATAAGGTCCTATCTAGTGATTAAATACCTTGAGAAAAGTAAATATATCAGAAATCCTACTTTTTAAAACATCATTACAATAGACCTCAGTAAATATTATCCTCAAGTAATTGATTTTTTTTCTAATCTGGAAGGAAATTTCAGATAAAATTTACTAAACCTGAAAGGTTTAGAAAATATATTCCCCCTGAATCCACTTTGTCAAAGTATTTATTCATCCTCCTTAAAGATTCCAGCAAACTATTTTGGCATACTTTCTTCTTTTTTAATTCTTTCTGTGTTCCCACTTATTGTTAAATGATTAGTAATTCTGGTCTTTAGACATAAATCACATTCAGATTATAGATGTGAGTGTTCCTCATCTTTGGATCTCCCAGAGGTCCTCGTCATGGTTGGATGCCAGATGGTATTGTAGCCAACCTGGGCACTATATAACATTATGTGACAGATGCAGAACTGCAGACACTCAGGTAAAAACTGAGGAATGGAGAAGACTGTCAATTTTACCTTATAAATATCTCTCAAATCAAACTACTTTTCTCCACATCTGATCACACTTAAGCTGATCAGATGGTATAGGTCCAAATCCTGGCTCTGTCATTTACTAGCTGCAGGACCTTGGATAACTTCATTAACCTGTTTATGCCCCAGTTTCTTTTCTTTTCTTTTCGAGATGGAGTCTAGTTCTGTCGCCAGGCTGGAGTGCAGTGGCGTGATCTTGGCTCACTGCAACCTCCGACTCCCTGGTTCAAGTGATTCTCCTGCCTCAGCCTCCCGAGTAGCTGGGACTACAGGCGCATACCCCTTTAGCAGAGACGGGGTTTCACCATGTTGGCCAGGATGGTCTCAAGCTCTTGACCTCGTGATCTGCCTGCCTTGGCCTCCCAAAGTGCCCCAGTTTCTTTATATATAAAATGGGACAATAATACCTTTTATCTCACAGAATTGTTTTAAGGATACACACACATGCTTTGAAGACTGCTTGGTACACAGTAAAATCAACATACTAGTGACTACTATTACTACTCCAAGACTTTGTGTTGCTTTTTTCTTCTGGACTATATGGCACATCACACATTTTATGAATAAACTATCTTGTATTAATCAGTATTGGTTGCATACATCTGTCTAAGTTCCCTAAAATAAACCAAAACCCTCACTGAATTCTTCTTCTATATACAACATAACTTCTTAGACTGATTAACTGTTTTCTCACCCCCTCTAATCCACTACAATCTGGTTTCCAGCACTGCCACTTCCCTAATACAGCTCTAAGGTTCACGATGTCTTCCATGTGATTAGATTCATCAAACATTTTTAGTCCTTACCTTACTTGACCTCCCCAACAGTAATTGATGTTATTGTTCACACTGTTTCTAGGAAACTTTCTCTTCCTGGTCTCCTGATTATTTCTTTCCAGTCTCTAATAGAGCTTCATCTACCTCTACTTGGTCATTAAATAAATGTTAGCATTCCTCAAGACTTGGAACTACCTACACATTCTTCTTTTCATCCAGTTTCACTCCTAAGGATAACTCTTCTCCCACAGCTTTGATTACTACCTTGATCGAAATAACTCTCAAATTTACATCTCGGCTTAGACCTCTTCTTTAAGCTCCATACCAGTATCTACAATGGTCTCTAGAATATTCAATGGCAACTCAAAACTTAATATGCCCCAAATCAATTCGCTATTTCCTCTCAATAAATATGGTCCTTTTTGTTTGTTCTGTATTTACATGAATGCTGTCATCATCCTTTTAGATGCATAGTCAGAAATCTAGTTCTCACCTTTTATACCTCACCTCTCTCCCTCATGTAGTCCATCACCAAATACTGTCAATTTTGCCTCACAAATACCAAATCTAATCACTTTACTCCACGTCTGTTACCACCATAATATGCAAAGTTTTAAAAATTGCTGTTTTGAATCATTTTAATAGCTTCCTAAACTCATTTATCCACATCCACTATAGTTCTCCCTCCAATCTTTCTCCACATAGCACCTGAAGTAATAGTTTCTCAGGTAAATCTGATCAGGTCATTCTTGCCCCTACCTCCCCCATTCCACCCTGCACCAAATACACACACACACACACACACACACACACGGAAAAGAAATCTTCATGGCTTATTACTGTAAGGACATAGACAACACTGAACATGGCTTAAAGGCTCTGCCTGGCCTCCTTTACTAGCCTTGGCTCTCACTGTGCTGCTTCTTCTTGCATTCTCTGCTCCAGCTGGCCCTTTGAGAATTTCTTACTTTCCATGCTCCTTCCCACTACATGCTACTCTCTTTCTCTGCTTGAAATGCATTTCCTTCCCCCTCTTAATCAATTTAATATCCTTCAGGTTTTTATTATTCCCTGATGAAGTCACACTCTTCATCTGGCTGTCAAGGTACCTGTGCCTATTCTTCATAGATTTAATCACTGTTGCAATTTTAGACTATTTTGAGTAATGTTTTTGATTATCATCTCTAACAGATTGTAACATCTGTCAGCACGGAGATCATGAGTGCTTTTGCTATCACTGTATCCCAGGCATCTAGTATAGTGCTTGATGCTTAATAATTTTTTATTTAATGGATGAAGAGTAGTAGAAATAACATACCTCTGATCTCGAGACATCAGAATTGTTCCTTGCTCTTCCCAAATAGGAGCTAGAGGGGAATAGGCTAAAATACAGTCAGGAAGTGGGAGAATTAGGGAAAGAAAAGCAGAGAGAAAGCTTAGAAGTCTCAGTCTCTCTGGTTAGACTAGTTACGTGTTAGAAAGTATACCTCCAAACCCAAAGCAGGTTTCTATGGAGTAGTAGAGGGTGAATGCAATCTTATTCCTCTGATAGATCCTAAAACATTTTATGTGTTTAGAATCCTACTCCTTCAGGGCAAACTTCCTGCCAACTCTGGCAGTTATCTAACTGAGCTATAACTGTACATAAAAGATCTCAAATCTTGTACAAGTACAGATACCTCTTTACACAGTCACTTCCTGTACTATAGAAAGGTACAGAAAGTTTGTTTATACAGATAAATCCATGCTGTACTGCCTAGTCAACACAGTCGACATGAAGGAGTCAAGCAAGAGTTTCAAGTTCCTAGATTATGACTCTTAGAAATACTAGGTGGGGCACAGTGGCTCACGCCTGTAATCCCAGCACTTTGGGAGGCCGAGGCAGGTGGATCACAAGGTCAAGAGATCGAGACCATCCTGGTCAACATGGTGAAACCCCGTCTCATACAAAAAATTAGCTGGGCATGGTGGCGCGTGCCTGTAATCCCAGCTACTCAGGAGGCTGAGGTTGCGGTAAGCTGAGATCGCGCCATTGCACTCCAGCCTGGGTAATGGGAGATAAACTCTGTCTCAAAAAAAAAAAAAAAAAAAAAAAAAAACAGTTTCCTGCTGGGCACAGTGGCTCATACCTGTAATCCTAGCACTTTGGGAGGCCAAAGAGGGTGGATTGCCTGATCTCAGGAGTTCAAGACCAGCCTGGGCAATACGGTAAAACCCCGTCTCTATTAAAATACAAAAAATTAGCCAGGCATAGCGGCATGTGCCTGTAGTCCCAGCTACTCAGGAGCCTGGGGCAGGAGAACTGCTAGGACTGGGGAGGTAGAGATCGCAGGGAGCCAAGATCGTGCCAGTGCACTCCAGCCTGGTTGACAGAGTGGGACTCCATCTCAAAAAAAAATGCAATTTCCTGGGACCCACTGGCTCTTTTAGATGGAGCTCTGGAATCTGCCATTTTAACACTTCTAGATGGCACTAATGCACACCAAAATCTGAGGACTAAATAAAATCTTCCATCTTTGGAGGAGCCCATACACCTACAGAAGTAACTAGATTCACCAAAATATTATTACTGCAACAAATGGCTGAAATGTTAAAGAAATATTAGACTAAAAGTTTAAAAGTCTCCACCTTTGTTATATAAATAGAATGAGCTCCATCTCAAATGAAATGAAAGTAGCTAACACCAAAATCTAAAGCTGTTACAGAGTATTTTAAAAACTCAAAATTATAGCAATGTGATGTCTGAGTTCCTTGAAAGCAGGAACTTCAACTTGTGAAAGGAAAATAAATCTTAGGTCCCCAAAATCACTAATCAAAGGGGAAAGTCAAGTGGGAACCGCTTAGGGCCAACCTGCCTCCAGTTCTATTGAGAGTCACCACTCTGCTGAGATAAATGCATATCTATTTGCCTCCTTTGGAGAGGCTAATCAGAAACTCAAAAGAATGCAACCATTTATCTCTTATCTACCTATGACCTGCAAGCTCCCTCCCAGCCTCCAGTTGTCCCACCTTTCTGGACCTAACCAATATTCATCTTATACATATGTTGACTGATGTGTGTCTCCCTAAAACATACAAAACCAAACTGCTCTGACCACCTTGGGCACACATTATTGGGACCTCCAGAGGCTGTGTCACTGGCATGAGCCCTCAACCCTGGCAAAATAAACTTTCTAAATTAACTGAGACCTGTCTCAGGTATTTGGGGTTCACAAACTTACTGACATTTTTATATTTAACACCAAGATTGTAGCTTGAATATAGTATACAATTAACAGTTTAAATAATGAGTAAACCTAGTACTTAAGCCACCTAACCCTCAAAAATACAGAGAGATCAAAAAAGGTAAGTCCAAATGAAAAGTATAGGCTTAAGAGGATTTTTGTCCATCACTCACTGAACAAATATTGAGTACCTACTATGTGCTAGTAGGCACTGTGTTAGTTTTCTGGAAATAGAACACTGAGATAACAATAGACTTAGTTTCTGCTTTCATGGAACACTGAAACTAATCTAAAGATAAATAATAAGGTGCTTTGGGAACTTACTTAGGAGAATTTTACCTAATCTGAACACTGGATGAAGTATCAGAGAAGGCTTTTTCAAGTGATAGTTGAGATCTACAGACTTACAGAGCACTAGCTAGGAAAGGGAAGGAAAATTGCAGGTAGGGAAAACAGTATCTTGGAGGACTATGAGACAAGGGAAACCTGGCACTTTCAAGGAAATAAAAAATGGCCCATAGGATTGTTATAGTGAACCCCAAGTTTCTCTTCAAAGATTCAGTATGTCAGTATGTTCAGCTCTTATTCTTTAATTCTCTGTTTTAAAGTTTAACTTCCTTGTACTTCCAGTAAACAACCTTCTTCTCCACAGGTTCTAATCAGTAGTTCACATCTGCTCCACCCACCACCAGAAGAGCTGAGAGAAAAATAAGTAAAGCAAATAGTTACTGAATATTTACTTAAATGTAGTTATTCCTTCCATTTTACCAGAGCATGCTCGAATTTCTTGCTTGGGTTTAAGACTCTGAGGTGGAAGAACATTGTCATACATATGATATTTTTCCAAATATTCAGTAGTAGGGCAAAACACCCCAGATTTTTCATAAATCCTTGTGGTTCCATGTGGACAATGATGTCGCCTGTGCAAAAAATAAACTGAAAGATTATTTAACCTTAAAAACATTTTGTGTTGTAATTGCATTTTAATCAGAGACCTCCAATAAACTCACAATTTGTAAATTCTAGAGCTTTACTAAAAAAAACAAAAACTGTTTCCTCTGTAATGATGTTTACAAAAACAAATAACGGTCTATCCCTATGTGATGTAAGCACAACAATTAATTGTCTCATAACAATTTAGCGTCTTTTAACACTATAGAAGCTGAAAATCTAATAGCATGGGAGTTTCCCATGCGCATGTAGAAAGGTTCCACGTACAATTTAGGTTTAAATTGTATCCTAAATTTAAACCTAGAATCATGTGAAAACGTGTATTCACATGATAGTTTGATTCAGAACAGAGCTACATAAGGAGAGAGTCAGAGCACAACATGGAATATTTTGCTTGCATGGAATATAATAGAGGCAACAAAAGATCAGAGCTAGTTGTTAGGTGGCATCTTGATTTGCAAGGTGGTTTCCTAACTTGGCAGCTTCTTGAACTTTGAAGAGCTGAGTGATTCTGGAGTCTAAAGCTCTGTTGCAATTTTCTGATTCTGGCAGAGACAGTGGCTCCCTTTTCAGTCCTGTTCTGTGGTAAAATTTTTGGAGGTTTCTCCTGGAAGCTTATTTTGAAAATGATTTCTTCAGTTCTTCCAAGTGAAATATATTCCTTATAAATTCCTTTTTGCCTAAACTAACCAGAGATTATGTTATCCGTAACTACGAATCTTGACCAATATATCATATAAGCTAATAGTATACAGTTATTTAAGAGAATGAGGGTGGTCTTTATGCATGGTCATTGCAAGATGGTGATACTGTAAATAGTAAAAAAACAGACTGTAGAATAGTATGCTCAGAATATTCTCTTTCTTGGTTAAAAAAAAAAAATCAATGCATATGTAAAACAACTCTTAAAAAATATTTGTTAGGCCAGGCGCGGTGGCTCACGCCTATAATCCCAGCACTTTGGGAGGCCAAGGCGGGTGGATCACGAGGTCAAGAGATCGAGACCATGCTGGTCAACATGGTGAAACCCCGTCTCTACTAAAAATACAAAAAAAATTAGCTGGGCATGGTGGTGCGTGCCTGTAATCCCAGCTACCCAGGTGGCTGAAGCAGGAGAATTGCTTGAACCCAGAAGGCAGAGGTTGCCATGAGTCGAGATCCTGCCATTGCACTCCAGCCTGGGTAACAAGAGTGAAACTCCATCTCCAAAAAAAAAAAAAAAAAAAAAAAACAACATTTGTTATCTGTGGAAGATAGAGTTATGAACGCATAGATATTTTTGCTTAGATTTTTTTTTTTAATTTTTTTTTTGAGACGGAGTTTCGCTCTTGTTACCAAGACTGGAGTGCAATGGTGTGATCTCGGCTCACTGCAACCTCCGCCTCCTGGGTTCAGGCAATTCTCCTGCCTTAGCCTCCTGAGTAGCTGGGACTACAGGAATGCGCCACCATGCCCAGCTAATTTTTTATATTTTTAGTAGAGACGGGGTTTCACCTTGTTGACCAGGATGGTCTCGATCTCTTGACCTCGTGATCCACCTGCCTCAGCCTCCCAGAGTGCTGGGATTACAAGCTTGAGCCACCGCGCCTGGCTTTTGCTTAGATTTTTATATGACACCTCGTGTATTTATTGCATTAGAAAATAAAGATAAAACCCTTAAAAAAAAAACCACAACCCCCCCAAAAAAAAAACCCAAACAAACAAAAAGTAAAATCACACCATTCCAAGGGTAGCCCTCAACATAATGAAGACTGAATTTCCTAACAGTTGAATGAGAAAGGAACTTACGTTGGATATAAATTAGAAAAAAGTAAAAATTTTCTCCTGCACGCAAGTCCGCAGATTGATACATCCAGTTAATTTGTTGATATTTTAATCTACATCTAATTACGAACTGTTTTTTTGTTTGTTTGTTTGTTTGTTTGAGACGGAGTTTTGCTCTTGCTACCCAGGCTGGAGTGCAATGGCACGATCTCGGCTCACCGCAACCTCCGCCTCCTGGGTTCAAGCAATTCTCCTGCCTCAGCCTCCTGAGTAGCTGGGACTACAGGCACACACCACCATGCCCAGCTAATTTTTGTATTTTTAGTAGAGACGGTGTTTCATCTTGTTGACCAGGATGGTCTCGATCTCTTGACCTCGTGATCCACCCGCCTTGGCCTCCCAAAGTGCTGAGATTATAGGCGTGAGCCACCGCGCCGGGCCTACGAACTATGTTTATTATGAGACTATAAAAAAAAAAAAAAAAAAAAAAAAAACCAACCCTGCTATCAACACGCAGGTGTTTTCTTTGAAGGTGATTACAAATACGAAGGGACTGACACATTCATATTTATTTAGCAAATAATGATGTAATTCCTGGGTCAACAGTGAAGCTGAGGGAGGAGAAGACTGTGTTTAGAGGTGATGAAAGGTTGTTAGGCAGGACTCACAGATGGATTCTAGGTTTGGGGTCGGGGGCGGGACTACTGTACTGCGTTTTCAGTCAGGCGGATCTCAAAGAAGTGCTGCCTGGACGGGAATGGGAATATGGTTTGGCCGGGAAGACAGAAAGCTGGAGATGAAAGGAAGATGATATGGATTGCAGACTCAGTGCCTGAACACCGCTCTTTTTCATCTTTGTGGTGTGGGATGATAGGATGGAGCTGGTAGAGATGCACTCTCACAGTCGGATCACATCCCGCTACTCACCAGCCTTATATCCCGTCGCTGCTTCACGTATATTATTTACCTGGCCCGGGTGGCATTTAACTTTGCATCCTTGACTGGGAATCTTAGAAGAAACCTTTTGCCCCCAGGTAGCCGGCGAGTGCGGAGCGAGTATTCGTGGAGCGGGATAAGTGGGGATGTCGCTGCGCCCTCGTCCCTTCATCTCCGGGGACAGCCACTCTCAGGGTTTCCGAGGAGCCGGCTCCGTGCACCTAGGCCCTAGGTAGGTTCCCAAGTCACGACCCCCCGCTACACCCGCCGTTTCTTACCCGCAGGTACAAATCTGACACAGACACCAGCTCCTCATGCTCTTGCCTCCCACGGCTGCCTCCGCAGCGCCTCAGCACTTGCAGCTTCTCCACTCTTACTGCGCCCGCCGTAGTCATGGCAGCAGAGAGACGCGCGGTGACGAACGCGGCACCGGCTTCCGGCGGCGTCAGAGACGCGCAGGTGAAAGGTCGAGCGTCAAGCGGCCCCGCCCCCTGGCGCGCGGGCGTTCCGGACTCGAGGGCTCTCGGCGTTTCGGAAGCTCTTACTGTGGCCCGGACCCGAGAGGAGGAGGGCTTTTGGGGCTGCCGCAGCGGGTGAGTGCGGGCTCGTGCTGGGGCTGGCGTCCTCCTCAGCCAGCCTCTGGGCGGTATTGGAGGACCCAGCTCGCTGCGGCTGTGTGGCGGGTACCGGGCTGAGGCCGAGCGCGGGCTGGGAGCGGCGGTCCCGGAGTGTCACTTCCAGCCTGGGGCCAGGGCGATCGCCGGTCTCTGTGGACCCGGGAGCCTCAAAGAGAACGAATCCGAGACCATGCAGAAATGAAGGGCATGTAGCCTACAGGTTTTTCCTTTTTATTTAAAAAGAAATGAATGACCGGCAGTGCACCTGCTTGGATAATAAGCACGTGACCCAAAACTTTGTTCGGGCTCCCTGGGCAGCAATAAAGCTCGGTATTTGACCTCGTACGAGGACAGGACGAGCGAGAGTTTCAGAATGAGGGACTTGGGGGAAGACTGAAGAGAGGAAGGGAGTATTTTCTTCTGCATCTTCTCTCCCTACTGTATGCCACCCTTCCTGAAGTACGTGGTCATTGGCCTGGAGAAGTTTACGCGAGTACTCTTCCATCGGCGGAGTCACTGGTGTCACTGTACACCCAGCCCCCACGAGCTGCGTGATTCATCGCAGCCTTAGGATCCGAAAGGATGAGCAAACTCCTTAAGTATAATCGTGGTAGGATATTGACTTTAGTGTTCCAACTGGACTCAGGCCTAGGTGGTCTATCTCATCAATAAACATTCACTGGGTCTTGGTTTCAGGGGTTTGAGAAGCCTTGCCACCTCCCAGCGTTTATTATTATTTTTTTCTTTTGCCCCGACCTTTAGCCTCTGGGCCATTTGTAATACATATTTTATTTTTAGTCTCAGGAAATAAGTAACCATGGTGCTCAACAGCTTGGATAAGATGATTCAACTCCAGAAAAACACTGCCAACATCAGGAATATTTGTGTTTTGGCTCATGTTGACCATGGTAAGAATCCTTTTTAAATGGCTTGTTTTGATAAATAAGGGAAGTATGTCTCTGTATGTCTCAATGGAGTGAAGCTGTGGGCAGTTGAGGGTGGTGTTTGCTAAGAAGCAAGTCGTCTTTCCTTTAAAAGTTTTCTGTGGCGCAGGAAAGGCTGCTTTGCTATAAAGCATTTGAAATGAACACGGTTACTTAGTGAGTAGCATTCTTCTATTTAGCATGTCATGTTGTTTTTTAAACCAGCACTTGAGTGTTTGTTTTTGAAATGGCTTTACGTATAAAACGTTTATAGTCTTGACATAATGTCCTTGGAGTCTGTGGTAAGTGATCCTATTTAATTCATTAGATATTTATCAAACATCTGTTAAGTTCAAGATATTTTGCTAAGTATGTCAGAAGGTGGAGACTTATGAGTAGGGCACCAGCCCAGCTGTAGAGGAGGTTTTAAGGGTGAGGTAGAGCAAAATGAGACAAACATGAGAAAAAAGACTCTAAGATCAGGAGAACTAGATGATTGGGAAGTGAGGGGTTAAGCAAAAGCCTCCAACATAATTAGTATTAGAGATGACACTGGAAGGGGGCCCAAGATGACAAATGGAGATAAACATTACAGGTGGGAATGTGTCATCTAGGGGAGAAGGAAATATATGTGGTCAAAGCCCAGCACATGGGAAAGGCAGAGGTAACTAATGCATGGTGTATGTGCTTCTGACAGATACTGCTGTAATTCCATACCACTCTTCCATGCTAAGCAGCCTCTTGATTTCAAACCTCTTTGTAGTTTAGATAGCCACAGCAAAGTGATTGGGATGGACATGTGAAATAAAGTCTGTTTTCCATCCTGTAGGTGAAGGACTAGGGCGAGGTGAAGAAGCAGACTGAGTCATATCTCATAGAGCTACTCATGCCAGCTGGGAACTAGCTTAAGAGTTAAGTGCTCCAGCTCTGGAGTTAGACAACCTGAGTTCAGATCTCCATTTTTAAGTTACACACTTTGCCTTTTTGAGCTTCAATATACAGCATCTGTCAAACAGGATGAGACAGGCCGGGTGCGGTGGCTCAAGCCTCTAATCCCAGCACTTTGGGAGGCCGAGGCGGGTGGATCGCGAGGTCAAGAGATCGAGACCATCCTGGTCAACATAGTGAAACCCCGTCTCTACTAAAAATACAAAAAATTAGCTGGGCATGGTGGCGCATGCCTGTAATCCCAGCTACTCAGGAGGCTGAGGCAGGAGAATTGCCTGAACCAAGGAGGCGGAGGTTGCGGTGAGCCGAGATCGTGCCATTGCACTCCTGCCTGGGTAACAAGAGGGAAACTCTGTCTCAAAAAAAAGGGGGGGGGGGTAATTCTTTATTAATTTAATCAAGTGGAAAGTCAGTAGGGTGTAACAAATTTACTCCTTAAAATTATGTTAAATTGGTACTTAGAAAACTTGCGATTCGTTTATTCAACAAGTATTTTCTGAAGGTCTTCTGTTTAACAAGCCTTGTTCTGGTCCTAGGGATACTGCCATGAATAAAGCACATTTCCTGCTTGCTTGATAATTTTTTCCTAGGGAGGTATATACTTGATGTACTTAGAATAAATGCAGCTTTACTGAGTAGCAGAAAAGTGATGCTCTAGGATTATATGTTAATACATGCTTACATGGCAGACAGATAACACACTGTTAAATATCTTCAGTTCTCCCACTGATTGGTCTCTGGTTTGAACTATACAGAGATTCCATAGCTTTGCTGAAGTTCCTAATGTGCAATAAAGACTTGTGTTGAAGGAAAAAACCCTCCTTTGGTTACTCCAACCCAGTCGTAGTAATTACGTATACCCATGACATTCTTTAAACAGAATTACCTGTTTATACCACACAAAATTGCATAGGCTTTAGTTGTATGTAGTCTGTTTAATAAAGGTAACTACAAATATATACAAAGATTCTTTTGCTATAAAGTAGACTTCTAGGTTTAGATTTGGCTACTGGGTTTCACTGGTTGTTACAGTATGGTTATATTGCAGACAGATATGAAGTTCCTGAATTTCTTTGATGAATATGTATTTTCTTAAGACAGTGTAACTAGCAAATGCCAACCGAGGCCATACGTGGGGAGATATGGCAGAAGAGTATGTTCAGTTTTTTATTGATGATGTTTTACCCAGTATGCCTTTCAGAGACAAAAATTATTGCTGTCTTTTTGTCATTCTGTGCTGTCAGGGGCTTAAGTTGATACACATGGTCACGGTTCTGGATATGGGATGATGTAGTAATTGTGATAAACTTCATTAAATTCTTAGAGGGCAAATTATAGTAACTGTAAAAGTTGTCAGATATTCTATATTTTGATTGGTTTTGTGGTTTGCCTTGTCACATAAAAGTGTGTGTTTTTCTCTTTATAAAGTCTGCCTCAATTTAAGAAACATTCTTTAAGAGAAGTTGATTCACAACTTTTCAGATGAGGTTGATTAGACCCACAGGGTTGGAGATAAGATTATAGCATTATTAGAGTGCTAGCATCTGTGTCCTTCCAGATGCTATTCTGTTCAAAAGTCTATTAAAACTCTTTTGTCTTTTGTCACCTAGCATAGGTAAATAGGAAATCTTTACTAAACCACTTCTTATGACCAGATTTTTAATCTGTAGGTATGATGCATCCCATGACCCCTTTTTAAAAAGACATAGATTTGAATTGATGTTGCTCTTTTATTTTAACAGGAAAAACTACTCTGGCTGACTGTCTTATATCTAGCAATGGAATCATCTCCAGCCGTCTAGCAGGCAAGGTATGTTATTATTTTATAAATACTTGTTGCATTTCTGTATTAGCTGTCTATAATGTAATGAACGATGTTATATATTCTTTAGCGATCCAAAAGGGCATAAAACATAGTTCTTGTATCTAAAAGCTGCCAATTCATTTTGCAAGATAAAATTGCTGGTGAGAAAAACAGTTCTATATTGCTTTGTATTGCTTTATATTAATATTTTATAAGTGCCAAAGTGAGTTTTTGCAACAAGCACATGATACACAATTGTGGAAGATTTCACATGGGAAGAGATTTTTTGTAGGTGAATAAGTTGGGTGGTTTGAGAAGACAGAAAAGCTGTCAGGGGATGGGAATAACACGAATGAAGTCTAATTTGTGTGTTGTGCTTTGAGTGGAGTGTTTGCCCACAAACTAGTGAGAGAGAAAATACACTGGCAGAGAGAATGTAAAAGATTGTAGAAGACCTTGCAAGTTAACTTGAGTATCAAAGGAAAGCTGCTTACACCTGAGGATTGTGATGAAAATAGTGGGTTTCTGAGACAGGATCTCACTCTGTTGCCCAGGCTAGAGTGCAGTGGTGTGATCATGCATGGCTTGCTGCAGCCTTGACCTCTTGGGCTCAGGTGCTTCTCAGCCTCTTGGGTACCTGGGACTGCAGGTGCATACCACCACACCTGGCTAATTTGTTTTTGTATTTTTTGTAGAGACAGGGTTTTGCCATGTTGCTCAGGCTGATCTTGAACTCCTGGGCTCAAGCAATCCTCCTGCCTTGACTTCCTAAAGTGCTTCCTAAAGTGTGTGAGCCACCACGCCTAGCTTGAAAATAGTGTTTGAGGAAATACAATTAAAGAGATCCTTATTTGTAGCTATGAGTTGAAAGGGCTTGGAATAATTTACTTGGCAGTAAAAAAATGGAGATATTCGTTTCCGTTATAAATTTAGGATATGATTAACAGGGTTTATCAGGTGACAGAGAATACAGAGAAGAGGAGATGTGGAAGCAAAATTGAATCCACAGAGTAGACCCAGTAGACTTGAAGGTCGATTTGGGCAATTGATGTGTGGGTTGAGAGGGAAGCTGGCCCAAGATACTATTTAGAGGAGGCTGAAAAACACTAG